GGGGTCGAGGTAGCAGATTGCTACCTGCGAGCTCCGGGGCGAGAAAGCCCCGTTCGTAAGCTGCTCTGGTACCCCTGGTCTGCTGGAGACCGTCTCCAGCAGACCAGAGGCACCGGGCGGGGTGCCGCACCTCTGAGGCTTTGCCAGAGTAAAGCCTCAGAGGCGCGGGACCCCTCCGCCTCCCCGGCTTTGCTCCAGGTGTCTCTGGGCTGCTGGAGATGGTCCCCAGCAGACCAGGGGCACCCGGAGCAGCTTTTCTCGCCCCGGAGGTCGAGGTGGCAGGACGCTGCGCTCTGGGTGGTCCCGCTGCCTGCAAGCTCTGGGGTGAGAAAGCCCCGTTTGTAAGTGCGGATCCGACATAAGTCGGATCCGCATAACTCGGGGACTGCCTGTAAGTATTAGTCTCATTTTATGGGAACAGAAAGTAAATAATTTGCCCAAAGTCAAAGTGTGAATGACATTTGAAAGGATTACAATTCAGGATCCTCGCATTGTGGTTGATGCACGAGGCCACACCAAGTCCACAGTTCAGATGTTTTATTTAAATTAAAACCAAGAGCCTTATAAATAAAATACCACTCTAAAGAAGGTGAGTGATCAGAAAAAAATCACATGATCCCCAAACCAGGAATCCTGCTACAGGTAACAGTGAAATTTGTGTCCCACCCCTCTGCTATAACCACACTCATAAGAGAGGTGCATTCATAGTACAGCTAGAGGTAATACCATGCAGCAAATCAAAAGTGACATTTCCAGGTACCCTGTACTTCACAATGTGACGAGTTGATTTGTTGTATCATGCTGCAGCTAGTGTTTTGGCTTCCAAAAGCAGAAGCAAGAACTGTAGCAACCACCGTTTGCAAGTGAGAATCCAGGGTAGTTATACTTCATAGCAACCTATTTACTTTTAGAAACAGAAACTGCTACAGCAGGATATATTCAAGCATCATAGTGATGTTTGCTGGACAGGAATGGTCTATGGATAATCGGCTGTTACCCTGCAACATTTTAATCTGACAAAATCCTAAAAGGGTATATTGATTTCGGAACAGTGGTGAACCAGACTGATTTGTTTCACGTTGTTCATCAACAGTAAAAGCAGTGTATTCCACATTTTAGGTTTGACTCTTGCTTCTTTGATTAACTGCATAATACACAAATGTCTTTAACTGATAATGATCTCTGCCACTTTCATTCAAAATGAGCTGAAAACATCTTGTAATCTTTACCAGCACTTATCACTGAAACAT